CTCACCAGCAGCTCCTTGGAAGCCCTATACAGGGTAGTTATGAGTCAGAACCAACTCAACATCACTTAAAAACAACAGGTTACAAGGAATCCTGGTGTGGCACTATAGAATAAACACTGGACCATAGGGTTGGTCTGAACCACAAGGTTAGGAGTTCAAACTCACCAGTGGCTAGTCAGAACTGACTTGAGGGCATTTGATGATGACAACAACTCTAGGTAAGAAGGAATAAATGGTGTTAACTTTTCTTTCTGAAAGGGATGATAAAGTTAGGAGACGACTCACTGCAACCCTGTATAGGGTTTCCCAGGCTGTAAAGCTAGGAGAATACAAAGACTGGCACAGGGGAGTCAGTGTAGCAAGAGTTCAGTCATATTACTGTAATCACTCAGTGATTTTCCAAGTGGACTCATTAACGCAACACCAGAAAGAACCCTGGATGCTTGTATACCAAGGATGTGGAGAAACTGAAAACTAGGGGGCGCTCTCTCAGACTCTGCACTTGTAGGAAAGAGAGCAATGAAAGCTTCCCACACAGACTCAAAGACAGTATTGTTGTTGTTAATTGAGTCCATTCCAATAGCAACCCTGTATAGGGCTTCCAGGAGCAGCTGGTAAGCTTGAAATGCCAACTTTGTAGTTCAAAGGGCTTTGCAGTCTGGCACATTAACCCCCAGCACCACATGAGACCTTTCAAAGGCAAAGTTCCTGTGAAGGAGTCATTGAATATTCATAACCTCTTACACTGCAGACAGATAGCACTCCATGGTCTTTAAAAAAGTTTTCACTTTGAGGTAAGTATAGCATGACTAGTTTTGATCATTTAGAAAAGTACACATATATAGTATTATATAGTATCGTTTCTATGGTAGGTATATAAAAGTATGAAGATCATATTGGCAGTTACCTTTGGGTGTTGTTAAGTGCTGTGGAGTCGATGATTCTGACCTATAGTGACCCTGTGTAGCGTTTCCGAGGAGCAGCTGGTGAGCTTGAACCACCGACCTTGCAGTCTGGCGCATTAACCCACAGTGCCATACCAGGACTCCAAGGAGACACCAGGATGCCGGTCAAAGGGACACTGGTTCTGTCTGTAAGGTTCATCTTGATGACATTTCAAAGCACTGGGAAGAAGCGGGTTTCCTGTTCTGTCTTACTGTGGTCCATAGCACAGTTCACAGTTCACAGTTCAGAGTTCACAGTTCCTCATCAGCTCTTTTCATAGTCTGTACTAAGTGCACCTGCTGGAGGCCTCTAAGCCCTGGCCCTGTGCTCTTAACTCACTGTCCACTCTTTCACCCTTGGCTTGCCAGTTGCTATTCATTATTCCCTTTCAAAAACATTCTTTTGTACTGTTTTGAAGTTGACTTAATACAACTTTAAAGTGCTAGCCCATCTTGAAGGCCCAGCAGAAATCCTACCTCCCCCAGAAACCTCCCCCCCAAAACCAGTTCACCTATTCCACTGAACTTTCATTCTTAAAAACACACACAAGTCTCCCCGCCCCCCGCCGTTCTCTTGGCACTAGGCGCTCATTCCTTTACTTCCCTTCCTCTGCTGTCCTCCAGCTCCTGATATAGCTGACATCATGGGTTTCGGAGACCTGAAAACCCTCACCAGCCTCCAGGTTCTCAATGATTATCTGGCCAACAAGAGCTACATCGAGGGATATGTACCATCACAAGCAGACGTGGCGGTATTTGAAGCAATCTCAGGCCCTCCACCTGCCAACTTGTGTCATGCCCTACGTTGGTATAATCACATCAAGTCTTATGAAAAGGAAAAGGCCAGCTTGCCAGGAATGAAGAAAGCTTTGGGCAAGTATGGGCCCACTAATGTGGAAGACATGACCGGAAGTGGGGCTGCAGACAGTAAGGATGACGATGATATAGATCTCTTTGGATCTGAGAGGAGGAGGAAAGTGGAGAAGCAAAGAGGCTAAGAGAAGAACGCCTTGCACAGTACGGGTCAAAGAAAGCCAAAAAGACTGCTCTTGTTGCCAAGTCTTCCATCTTGCTCGATGAGAGACCTTGGGATGATGAAACAGACATGGCCAAATTGGAAGAGTGTGTTAGAAGTATTCAAGCAGACAGCTTGGTCTGGGGCTTTTCTAAGTTCGTTCCAGTGGGATATGGAATTAAAAAACTTCAAATACAGTGTGTGGTTGAAGATGATCAAGTTGGCACAGATACGTGGAGGAAAAGATCACTGCTTTTGAAGACTATAGATGTGGCTGCTTTCAGTAAGATTTAAAATTCATCCTGAATGATGGCGGGGTAGGACTACAAAGGCAAGAAGTGACTGGCTTACAAGCTTTCAAGAGGGAACCTAGAGACAGGGGGCCTGGAGGAAGGCAGAATCTCCAGTGAGTAGCATCCAATCTGCCTAGGCAGGGCTAATGAAATGAAATGCAGATGGGTCTCTTGTGATACAATAGTGAATAAGTGTTATCAGGACTGATTGTGAAGGTTGGAAATGTAAAGGTAGACATTTTATGGCAAGGAAGGAAGTGATTAACTTTTCAGTCTAGGAGCAGAGGTCCCTAGGACCATCAAGGGAGAAGAGCCGAGAGCGGGAACCTACCCAGAGAAGCAGTGAGGCCCGAGATGGAGGCAGAGACAATGACGTGGAGAGATGAAGCAGCTGGGGACTTTAGATCCAGAGAGGGAGAGCGACTGTGTACTGAAGACTGGGGTGGGGGTGGGGGTCGGGAATAGTGTAGGGGGCAGGCTTGCAGGGCATACCCTTTGGTTGGTTGATGATGCATGGAGGGGATTGTAACCATGGCAATGATACAATGTACGATAGAATGAATGTAAAACTAATGTTCTCCCATGTAAACTATCAATATAATTCACAATAAAACACTAAAAAAAAAATTCATCCTGAATGGTTGCATTTAAATAAAACTTTGAAAGAAAAAAAACAACCACACACACACAAGCATCCTTTTCTGTCATTGCGTGGTGCTGTAGGATAAGCACTGGACTGCTAACCTTAGGTGGGTGGTTCAAGCCCAACAGTCACTCCTCAGAAACCCCAGACACAGTGTGGTCCCTATGAATTGGAGCTGACACTTAAAAACATCCTATTTAACTCCTCTGAATTCTGTTGTTAGCTGCAGTCCAAGTTGGTCTCTCCAGTCCTCTCCTTGCTGAGCTGCAGACCAGACTGTTGTGATCCATACAGTTTTCACTGGCTGATTTTCAGAAGGAAATGGCCAGAACATTGTTGAAAGCTATTCAGCATCATAGCAACACACAAGCCTCCAACTGGCAGATGTGTTGGTGGCTATGCATAAGGTGAGTTGGCCAGGAATCCAACCAGGACCTCATGCATGACAGGTGAGAATTCCACCATGGAACTACCAGAACAGTGTCAATTTACTTTGCACCATGAAAAAAAAGAAAAGATTTTCATTTATTTGCAGTCAGGGCCAGGACTAGGGTAAAGCACTTGTCTGAGGCACAAAAATGAAGAAGCCAAGAAAACTCAGTCATCAAGACAAATATTATTTTCATACACTATTTTAAAAATTCACTATCAATGAAGAAAGTGTATGATAAATAAAATATCAACATGGTAACTAAAGACAGACGGTTAATGAGTTTCTCCTTTTGTCTCCAATTCATCCTGACTTGGTTTGGCATGTCACCGAGCCTATCTTTATCCAATATTTTTTTCTATTTGATCCATCATGACTTTTTTTGCACTCATTTCGATTTTTTAAGAACATTGCGTTGTAGTCTTTATTTTGATTCCTGAGTCTTTTGGTATCCCTTCAATTCTGCTCCTCAGATATTTGTCCTGTTTGCCCCATCCCTGTATACATCCTACCTGCCTTCCCTCTGAATTTTCTTACTCATCATTTGTAATTTTGCTGATGGTTCCTCATCAAGAGTTCTGGATTTTTTCTTCACCTTTCTTGAGTATGTCTCCTCTTTGTTTGAAAAGGTGAGGAAGTTATGCCCACATACAAAATATATTCACTTAAACGTTGAAAAGGCACATTCTGTGTACATGAAATGTTTTTGCTTTGTTCATTTATGACATCTAAGATGTACATGGAGAACTACAAGGAGGAAGTACCGTAACTGTTATTGTAGGGAAGGGACTGTAATCATTGAGATGAAACAAAGTTTATGATTGTTGAAAGTAAAGCTAATAATTTGGCTTGTAAACCTTCACTCAATTCACAATAAAAAGTTAAAAAAAAAAAGGTGAGTTTTCTGTTAACGTTTATTTTGTTGAGATGGAAAACTTTCTGCGGTTTTTGATCTGTTCTGATTCCCTAAGTAAGATTTTATATAAAGTCACTAAACTTGGGAAGTCTTGGCCACTCTCTAAATACCCGTGCCAAGCTCGTGGGGGGGGTGGGGGGAGAGGGCAATACCTAATTATCTGGTCATGAGGGGCAAGAGTTACTACCTGGGAGCGACATCCTGGGTGGTTACGTTCTATGTTCAACCCACCACGTTCACCACTTGCAACCTCTCAGAACGAAAAACCAGGTTAACTTCACTGAACGCAACTTTCCTGGTTCTTGCTAGTCTCAGCTCTCAAAATCTAAATCTGCAGTCACTGTGACTCAGCAGAATCGGAGCCTGCAAACCGCACCCCACCCTACACTACCCACCCGTCTGTCTGCAAGAGGCAACTTCCCAGAACTGTGGCACGAAAGGGGCGCGTCCAACAGAGGCAGGACTCCAAGGAAAATCTCCTTGTATGCCTGCTGGTTCTTAGAACTAGGGCCAGATGGTAGGCGTCCACCTTTGCGCCGACTCCTGTGACCCCGCTCATCCACCATCCCCCGAGACCCTTCTAAAGTCCCCCCCCCCCCCCCCGCTGGTCACCCGGCCACGCCCATGCTGGTCACCC